ACCATCAGCCCTCGCCCACCATCAGCCCTCTCCCACCTCCCCAGGGACCCGCTGCCCACCCTCCTCACCACCCACCCCAGGGCAGCCACCCTCCGCACCCCACTTTAAACCAGAGCAGGTGCCCTCCCGTGCTACTGGGTGCCACGGGGTCGCTCCTTGGTCCCACACTTTCCATCACCAACCCTTAGGGACCACCAGGGCTGCGTGGGGGCATCACCTCCTCCCTGAGTGAGTCGGTGGCACCCGCAGCACCGGTGGCCCCGGTGCCGCCAGCGCTGGCCCGTTTGGGTGCAGACAATGGCGGTTTGTGCCGAGGTAAGCAGGTGCATTCAGAGCCGTCCGTCTTCCCTCTGTCAGCATTACACCATCATTAGCTAGTGTCTGCTCAGCAGGGTGTGCCATTATGTCTCCCAGGGCTGATGTAATTATACATTGACATAATTAACCCAGCAAGCCCATTAAGCAGGCCAGCTAAAAATTCATCTATAATTATTTGTTGTGTGCATGCTAATGAGTCCATCTGCACTGCCATTGTACAACACGAACAAATTAATTTACAAGTCTGGATTTTTTAATAAGTTCAAGAAAATGCCTCCTATTGAGCCAGGTTAATATAGGTTTGGGTTTTTTTTTTTTTTAGAAAAGAAGAGGAAAGAAAATAGATTTGAATTCTCCAGGGTCAAAAAGTTAGACAAACAAGGAAGTGGGACGGAGCTGGGCGCGCTACTGTACGGCACGGACACGTGGCAGGCATCCAAGGGTGAAAAATAATAACGGTGATGGAAAAAAAAAAAATCAAACAACTGGCTGCCTCTGCTCAGAATGTGATGCAGAGCAGCTCTTCTGCTCAGTGAGTCCCTGGCTGAGATGGCAGCGGTGCAGGAGGAAGGGGGCCCGGCACCACCGTGGCCACACCATGGCATTCAGGGTGGTCTGGGGCTGTGCCAGCACAGTCCAACCGCAGCACCGGGTGTCTTTGGGGTGAACCTGCTCAAAAGATGCCGGATTTGCCCTGTGATCCTTGCGGCAAGTGCCCAGCACGGATGCTCCTTGCGAATGAGCGAAGCCAAGACATGTGTGCCCCAAGACGGGGTTTTTGGGGGTTGCCCTGACCCACCGCTGCCCTCCCATCCCACAGCATCGCTGCCGTGGGGTGCAGGGCTCCACCGCAGCACCCGCTATGTGGCTTCCCCACAGGACCAACGACTGTTGGACCCCGCGTGCTAACGCCGAAAGCCCCCGGAGCATCCTCCTCCACAGGGATCATTCCCCCTTCCTTGTGCTGGACATCACAGAGACCCCGCGGACACACCGGGATAAATGGTTTGTGCCCAGATCCTGGCCACGGGGATGCACCCAGAGGTGGGTGCTGAGCCCTGCCGGCACGCTGCCAGCTTTGCCACTGAAACGGGGACTTGGCTCCAGCTGGGACTCTCCTGGGCTGCTCATGGCATCCTTCAGCTCGGCATCCTTTGGCTCAGCACCCTCCAGGCTGGTTGCCCATCCAAGGATGTGGGAGTGTGCCACTGAAGGGGGTCGCGGCGATACGGCACGGCCCCGCACCGGACTGGGTGCTCTCAGAGCCATTAATAACACCCGTAAGTACATGAGCTGAGATAACGATACGGCTAATTAAACCCCGCGCTTCAAGGCCCCAGCTCACAGGCTGCAGGCACTGGGGGTCCCCCACGTGCTCCCCCGGCCCCAGGGGCTCCGTGCCAGCCTGTGAGCTACCTCTGTGGGGATAAACGCCGGGGCTGGACCCCTCCGATCTGCACCAGCAACTCCTCTCGCCTCCGTGATGAGAAATAACATGGAAGAAACCAGCTCGAGCGATAAAGCTCTGGGGATTTTCCTCGGGTCAGTGTTTTCCCTGCCATGAGACTGCAGCCCTGCTGCTGAAATACAGCCGGGGCGATCCCCCAGCGCGCTGCTCTCCGTTTGGAGCCGACATCCCAGGATGAAGCAGTTGGGAGCGGAGCTTTTAGAAGGGAAAAGAGGGAGCGGTGCTTCGGCTCCGCTTCCTCCGTCAGCTGGGGCAGCGCTGATGCAAAACGCCTGGCTGGGTGAATGACATTGTGCTAACACCACGCTGGCCATCCGTCGGGAAAGCGCCATCCTCGTGCCTGCGAGGGGTTCGGATGCACCAAGGGGCTGCTGGGACCGGGCACCAAGCTCGTGCCACGCTCACGCCACGCTTGCGCCGTGCTCGCACCACGCTCACGCCATGCCTGTGCCGTGGTGCTGCCGGCGAACAAACCCTCCTGCTGCAGGGCTGGAGAGAGGGAGCACCCGAAACCGAGCACGTCGCCTCCTCACGCCAAGACACCGCGGACGTCACAC